ATGTCAAACTCAGTGATGGCCAGCTGGTTGAGGAGATACATGCCATAGGCCGCCGCCGAGAACCTACAAGCCTTAGTTTGGAGCGGGATAGGAGAAGGCCATCGGGGGATTGCGGGAGGAATGCTTAAGATTAGAAGGATGTGGGGTTTTGATATATGTCGTAAGGTAGCACGGGTATTGACAGCATATGGTTTTATATGTACAAAGGATGAGAGAAATGTTGCGCTGACTCTCAAGAGATAGCCAGCCTAGACGCAATCTATGGAAGGAGACACGGGACTCAATGCTTGGTGTGGGGATGAAAGGTATAAAGCCTGTGATGAATCGGACACAAGCATTGAAAGCTGTTTGAAGGGCCAGGGTTCTGGACTTATTAATTTGCATGAAGGCTATGGAGGCATAAGAAAAGTGGGGAAAGATCAATGTTTGTACCAGGTATTTCCTTGTTTCAATGGTGAGTGACTTTCTATAAAATTTAAGGGAATTTAGACCAAGGTGAACTCTCTTAACAATGTCGGAGATGTGGGGTTTCCATTGAAGAGTCGAGGTGATAGTAAGTCCAAGGCTTTTGACAGATGATGAGAATGGTATCTCAACACCATCAACCTTGAGCCTGGACAATAAGTTTAGGTCAATAGCGAGGACGTGAAGTTCGCTACCAACGATCATGACCTTTGTTTTGGCGACGTTGAGTTGGAGACCGTTCGCTCGCGTCCAATCCGCCACCGCCTGTGCATCCAATTGGACCTTCTCAAGCCCCTCAACAATCTGGGAAGGGACGCAGTGATGGTAAATCTGGGTATCATCAGCATAAATTAGGTGCTTGCAGAAAAAAAAAGCACTCGTGGGAGGTCGTTAATGAAGATGGCAAACAGTAGCGGACCAAGAACGCTTCCCTGCGGGACACCCGTCCGGGCACGCTCCCACCGCGAAACAGTGTTCCCATGATCAATGACAGTTTGCACCCTGTCGACAAGGTAGCTGAAGAACCATCGTAGGACGGAGTCACCAATGTGACAAGCTCTGATCTTATCAATAAGCAAGTCATGAGGAATTCCATCGAAAGCCTTTGAAAAATCAAAAAGGACAAGGATGGTAATTTGCCTCCTATCAATGGCAAACCTCATGTCGTCAAGGACGCCCACTAAAGCGGTCTCAGTAGAGTGTCCCCTACGGAAGCCAGCCTGCCTGGGATCCAGAAGGTCATTAGCTAAGTGGTCAGAGAATTGTCGGTGCAATATTCGTTTAAGGATTTTTGACGGTTCAGACAACTGCGCGATGGGCCAAGTATCAGAAGGAGACTGGGGTGATCTGACCTTAGAAAGAGGACGAGTAAGGGTGCGCTTCCACGTGGTTGGGAAAGTAGATGTTTCAATTGACTTGTTATATATTTCGGTAAGGTTACAGGCTACGGTGTCAAGTCCAAGAAGAAGCATCCCTCCCGTAAGTCCATCACAACCCCTGCCCCTAGAACGCAACGCCCTGATCTCGCTCTCAACATCAGATTGTTTAATTTTTGAAAAGACAAAAGGAGGAAAAGTAAAGGTGATATGCAAGGGGGAACTGCAGATATTGTTAAATGTAGTAAGGTTTAGGGCTGGAGATCTGTTGACAACTAAGGCAAAGTGTTTATTGAGTTCGTCAGCTGAGAAAAAGAGCAGTAGTGAAGGCAAAAGCCGATTGGTTAAGCCGATATCATGGATAGTCCTCCACTTGGATTTTGAGCTATTGGCATGTTCAATGTTATTACGGATGTGGGTATTTTTCTCAGTATCAAGCTCGTTTGAAATGGTAGTTCTTAGGGAACGATAATGTTGAAGGGCCAAGGATGAGTCGGAGGCTCGAAAGCGTTTGTAGGATGCGTCACGGATCCGCATTTGGACACGCAGCTTATCAGTCACCCACGGCTTCTTTTTGGCGGAGATGGTAACCAGACGAGAAGGAACAAGCTCGTCAAAAGCTCCACAAACCGCCAGGGTGAAAGTTTGCTCAAGTTGATCGACTAAGGGAGTGTCTCGACGAAGAAAATCACCCCGGTAATCCGGGGAGACCGAAAACTTGCTGGTGATGAGAGAGTTCAGGACCGATTTATCAACACGATGGAGAGAGCGGGAGGCAAAGGTTTTAGGTTGTTCTTGCGGCGAGGAAAAGAGTATGGAAAGCTCAATTAGGTCGTGATGAGGTACAAATCGGGAGAGAGATTTGGTGAAACTAAGAATATGAGTTGAGGGATTTGTTATGAAAAGATCCAACGCTGTATGTGTGGCGACTCCACTCTCAGTAATAGGATGGTGTGTAGGCTCGGTGGAAACAACCCTAAGTGCGTGTGAATCGATCTGATCACGCAATGCCAGGACGTGAGGAAGATGTGATGTAAGGTCGGAGTTGAAATCGCCAGTGATAATGACATCATTGAAGAGAGGAAGAAAGGAAGAGATGGTGTTATAGAAAAATGATGGGATTTTGGCGGATGGACGGCGGTAAACAACTGCAAATAATAGTTTCAGGTGGCTTTTATTTTGGATTTCGGCTATCATGAATTCAGGTGAGTTGTTAAACGTGGGATCAGAGGTAGCGAGTAATTTTACTGTCAAACTATTGCGACAATAGAAGCCAACTCCACCACCCTCCTTGCCCTCGCGATCCAGTCGGAAAAAATTATAATCGGCTAGAGCGAGGTGGTCATCAGAGATGACATTACAAAGTTTGGTTTCAGAAATGGCAATAATGTCATATGAACTTGTATGTGCCTGTGCTTCAAGGAGAGAGCAGTACCACGGTACGTTCAGGCCGTTAATGTTGATGTACGCAACGGTGAGGGAAGATCAAGAGGGGATGCAGGCGATAGCAGAGTTATTCTCAGGGACCGTTGAATATCATGAGGTTTGAGCTGAGTTAAGAGTTGGCGACTGTGAAGAGGAGGCAGATAAAGTGAAGCTTGGTGTATCTGCAAGTGGTCGGATATGAAGATCAGAGCGAGGAAGTCGGAGATCGCGATGGGCACCGCCAAGAGGAGCGAAAGGCGCGGCCTTGGGTGAAGGGGGTCTGGAGCTCCCTCCGAGCCTGCGACAGGTTGGCGAGATGCCAGCCTCGGCAGACCACGCAGGTCAGCCTCAGAGATGATGGGAATGAGCTCCGATTGCGGCATGGCGCGGCAGAAGATCCACAAGTTTTGCACCACAGGCCACGCATATCCGAGGTTATCACTCACTCTTCTGGCCTTGGATACAAGCTCAAAGACAGGCTTGGGGTAGATTGGGCGCAGTAGGACTCGTAAACCACCTCCACAGCCAAAGATCGTCTGCGCAGTATGCCCCTTCAATCTGGACGAAAACTTGATAATTCTGTCACGAGAGTTGTGGGCGCAGTAGAGCGAGAAGCAGCAGTGGGATTCCACTCCCTTGTCGCAATAATCGCAGGTAGGTTGTGCTCTCCACCAAAGCCTAGCGCAATGAGGACAGAGGTAGCGGCCCGGAAGAGGGAACCTTGAAATTCAGCAGGTAACCCATGGACCAGGATTTCAGGCTCGTCGACTATTGCAAAGTGGACGTCACGCTCGCGAAACTCATCCTGCGTTTTAGTCCAGAGTCCGCACAGTTTCTCTAAGCGCTCAGAATTGAGTTGCGCTTCCTTCGCATGCCACTCCGCGTTAAGCTGCGACTCCCTGCGAAACCACTAAGGTGCCTCAGACATTGCCGAGTAATCGATGTTCCGACCTGTAGTCGGAGGTAGCTCAGATCTATAAGCTTTGGTGATCGGCAGCAGTGATGGCTGAGTTGGTGAGGCAAGACGTTTCTTGGCGTGTGCAAGAATAGAGGGGGAGTGTCCTGTAGGTGTAGCGAAGATATCCAAGGCAGTATTGGCTAGAGTTGTATCGTCGTTTGGTGAGCGGTTGAGGCAGCAGTTAAATTCTGCAGAGTTGTGATTGGCTGGTCTTGAGTTGGGTGAAATGCAAAGGTTATGGTACAGGGAATTACAGGAGTTGCAGAGGAGGAGTTGAACAGGTCGTCACACGATCAATCCGCACTTGGCACACACGCGACTTGACATAAATAGGCGAGATAAGTTTAGAAAGAGTAGAAGTGCCTATAATAATTTGAATGTTCGCGCGCAATTTCAAGTAGCGCGGATGCGCACGCAACTAACCAGCTATGACAAACTCGGTAAAGTGAGCTCTACCGAGAAAAAGCGATTTATTATAGAGGGTGTGGCGGGAAAATCAAAATGCGCGCGAAGATGATGCTCGCAGTAATGAGGAAAGCGAAATAGAGATTAAGGGGAATATTTGGCGCGGAAAATTCCCAAGATGACGTAACCCGACTTAAATGTACGTTACAACTTAAGATTAAAATGAATGATTATGAAAATGATCAAACTTAAGCGCATTTGTTTAAGTAAATTAGAATATTTTAGTTGAGCTAGAAAAGTATCACTTTCAATTTAACATCATACCTTCCTGTTCTGATCACTTTTTAAATGATAGCTGAAATTTTTGTTGCGATACTTAGTGTTTATCTTTCGCAAATGTGGAAGAATCAGACACATGTTATATAGTTGATTTTTGACGTGCGAATTTGTATTTTGCTATAGATCGCATATGTATAAGTTTATTTACAGACGAGATCGACTTTCAGTCGCAGGCGTTTGTGAAAATCGACCTGTAGATGCTGACGTAGTTCTCGGTTTGAGTTCGTTTGACCTAATGTGAAAGTTTATTTTGAAATCTCATGTGGTAGACGATTCTGCTCTTCAAAAAGGCAGATGCTTTTGTTGCCTTTACCTAAGTTCGTAATGTAAGCGCGTCCGGGTCTCGAATCGTAGTGTAGGGCTATGTCTGGAATGTAAGAATTAATAAATAGGATAAGTTTTTAAATGATAAAATGCCTTAACAACTTGAAAAATAGTTGTAATTTAACTCTTATGGCCAATTTTTATGATTTTGTTATTTTTAAATCACTTTCAAGACAAATTTTATGAATTTAACTTATATTTTCTTATAGATCACTCGTGATGGTTGCTAAATGTTTACAAAATTTAGCAAATCTAGTAGAATTTGGAGGAAAAGAACCATACATGGAAGTCGTCAATCCTTTTATTTTAAAAAATAAAGAACGAATGGTTGTATTCTTGGATCAATTGTCGGTAAGTTTTTTAGCCTTATTCTGTTTCGATAATTAAGAAAATTTTACAAATGAATTTCAGTACATAAAACAATATTTTAGGCAGACTTATAAAAAAGAATGTACTTAGATAAAAGTTCATACATCGTAGAATCTTTTTCTACCTTGATTAATTTATTGACTATTTATTTCAATTGTATTATTCTATAATGAAAGTTATAATGAAATATTATTTTTTAATTTTAATTCTGCAATGAGACTACTTGTTAAATTCTTTTTTCGCGGGCTCGCTTGATTAACGCGACAAAAGTTCAGAAGACAAGTTACAGATTACAGCAATCATTCGGCAGTACGAGCGTCAGATGAGTGAGAGGCACGTTAAAATCATGGATAAGAGTAAAAGATGCTATTGAAATCCTGACCAGCACCTCAGTAACACACTGAAAATTTTTATCTATGATTATAAAAAAAAACTAAAAGGAAAGTAAGAGTAGTAACTATACCGAAAGGATAATTAATGTATTTCGGAGAAGCTTGTGAAGTTTGAGATCGCTAGAGTAATCGGTGTAAATCATTCGAGTAGTTGTCTGCAGCAACGTACCTTAGTCTCTGATTTTTTAAGTGTACGCAATTCCTTAGAACACGAGCTTCAGCCTTCATTTGCATTGATTTACTATTTTTTCTCTCTCTCTCTCTCTCTATCTCTTACGCATGACATACATGTATTGGCGAGCGTGTGACGAATCTCTGAGCTATAACATATCGCATATTAGAGCTATAACATATAACATATTATATGACTACTAATAAATAAATCAAACTTCTTTTTGATAAATACATTTCATTAAATCCGAAGTTGACTTTTTTAAATGATCAAATTTGTAATAATGGAAAGAAGGGACATAGTGAGAGCTGGAAATTCATTTAATTTTACACGTTCAGGCAGTGTTTCTCTAAGTCTTCCATTACAATATCAGCTATTACGGGAGAGATGGGGAGCCCATCCGGCTTCCAAATATTTGTTTATAATAAATTTTGTTCAACACAAAATATGTCTTATTAAATAAAAGTTTTATACCTCTCCGAATCTCTTCCATTGAAATCTCATAATTTTTAATTTGTTCATAACGTTTTGTCCAATCCCTCCAAGACTAAATTACAAGATATGTTCGTGAATAAGGAACTTACATCTAATGATATTAAAACGTGATCATTTGGAATGAAAATATCTTTTAATTTCTGTTTTAACTGTCCACTGTTTAAAATGTGAGAGTTAGGTTTATTTATAACGGTTTTAAGAGCATTATATAAGCATTTTGCTAATTTGTGAGTAGGGCTATGAAGTGATGAAATTATTGGTCGTAGTGGCACATTTTCTTTATGTATTTTTGGTAATCCATAGCATTTTGCTATAGATGTGTCGGTTTGAGTCAAATCATTATTATGCCAATATTTATTCAGAAAACCATTATCATTCCAATCTTTTAAAATTATTTTTACGTATCCTTGTAATTTTTTCAGAGGGTTTGATTTAACTTTGATATAAGGGATATTATTATCTAATAAAGTATTCATTTTTTCGAAATATTCTTTTTTCGACATGACTACTGTGACATTACCTTTATCTGCGTTTGTAAACATAATATCTGGATACATTTGCACAAAATTTTTGTTGATTTTATTTTTTTGTTGAATTCATTTTGTTCAATACTTGATTTCTTACTGTATTGTAACGTGACTGGCTACGAGCTATTTGTTTTAGCTTATAATAATTTTACTACGATAGAAATTAGGTACACACATATACATATAATTATATGCCATTAAAATTACACTTGCAACTTTATTGTTAAAAATTTGTTGTTTTTCTGTTAATAATGCTTGAAGAGATCAGCAAATATGCTGACGAAACGTTGCTGAATATAATTAAAATTAAGTGAATTTCCAGCTCTCACTATTTCTCTTCTTTCCATTATTACAAATTTTATCATTAAAGAAAACTATAAGGGAATCAAGACAGTATGTTACGTACGAAGTTAACTTTGTCTGCTACTCGTCTGATATATAGTGGCGTGTATAAGTTTCTGGCGAAAAATAAAATCATTTAAAATTAAAAATTTTCAACTCTGTCTAAAATGATCGTAGAAGAACCTGCACAGGCTCATTTTGAAGAGTAAATCAATACCATTCATATTCCGCCTGTATTTTTTATTAAATTAAAAATTGTGTTTATGAAGTAAAAAAAACAAATTACTTAAAAAAAAAATTTTTTTTAACATTAGATTGGTTATAACTTTTGAACGGATCAGCAGATTTTAAAAATCAAAAGTGTAAAAATTGTATATTTCTGTTACCATTAAAATCAGCGCAATAGGATTCATTTTCATTAAGCCGATAAAAAGTTATAACATTTTTTGTAAAATAATTCCCTTTTTTCAGTCTTTGATTATCTCAAAAACTATACACTGTAGAAAGAAACTCCAAAAAGAAAAAAATTTTGTTTTTTAATGCAGAATAATTATTCACTATCAAAATTACATTTTAACAAATTGTAACAAAATAAATTTTTCCGTTTTTTCACCGTGGGTAAAATATGACTATGGAATGATTACAAATAAATAATATTATTTAAGTTCTATCAATTACAAATTATCAATATTCTTTTTATACACATATTTTTATAACATAGAATTACAATAATTATATTATCGCAATATATCAAACTCGTGCATTTCACAGATGTATTTAAAAAATTACGTTGACTACTGTTAAATGCACGAGTTTGATATATTGTGATAAATATTATTGTAATTCTATGTTATGAAAATATGTGTATAAAACGAATATAATAAATTGTAATTGATAGAACTTGAATAATATTAATTATTTGTAATCATTCCCTAGTCATATTCCATAGTCATATTTTACCCACGGTGAAAATCGGAAAAATTTTTTTGTTACAAAATGCAATTTTGATAGTGAATAATTATTCTGCATTAAAAAAGAACTCTCTTTGTCTTTGGAGCTTCTTTCTACAGTGCATAATTTTCGAGATAATCAAAGATAAAAAGATGAAAAAAAAAAGAATGGTTTTACAAAAAACGTTGTAACTTTTTATTGGCTCAATGAAAATGGATCCTATTGCGCTCATTTTAAAGATAACAGAAATATACAACTTTTAAACTTTCGATTTCTAAAATCTTATGAGCTGTTCAAAAGGTAAAACCGATTTAATGTAAAAAGAAAATTTAAAAAAAGTAATTTATTTTTTTTAACTTAATAAACACAATTTTCAATTTAATAGACAAATACCCGCAGGATATGAAGAGCTTTACTCTTCAAAATGAGTCTGCACGTATTCTTGTACGACCATTTTAGACGGAGCTGCAAAACTTTAAATTTTAAATGATTTTTCTTTCGTCAGAAACTTATGCACGCCACTGAATGCTTACACCGAGTTCATGTTTTCGCGTTTGTTTTCAAGTGGTATATCTGCTTGAGGCTAGTCGATAAAAATAAAAATGTGCAGCATAACGAGGCAACGGTGAGCCTTACACCGGTGGATAATAAATTTTTGTTTAACAGCTCAGTGATCGAAATAACAAATAAAATCACTACTATCAAAATCTTTTAGTGGGTTTCAAGTTCGCACGTGTTTACGTTGAAAGAGAGAGAGAGAGAGAGAGAGAGAGAGAGAGATATGTGATCGCCGGTTAGTGAATGTGTGTGCGAGTATAACACAAAGTATGAGTGAGGTGAAACTTATCGAATAGTGTTGATCTTGACGAACTTTGTACATTGTAAATGTTGGGAATTCTCTTGTAAAACCGAGAGTAAGCGATATTATCAAGGCAGTCCGTTGAGACGAACTGCGATGTGTTATTGTGACAAAATGCACGTGTGAACATTTGTAATCCTATTGCGAAAAATAACGTCATAAATAATATTATTGAACTTCGAGCATATACTACTGGAAGTATCGCTCAAGCGGCCGAGCGCGTTACCACCCGAAAAATGAGATAAAAAATATGAAGTTACATGCTATCTTTCTCTAGTCGCACATGATTGGCTCCTTTTTATAAATATAAAATACGTTATTTATTATGTTTTGAAAAATGATTATTATTAAAAATTATTAAAAAACTTATTTTGGTTTTTATAATATAAAGTTTATGTATGTGTTCACTATCTAAAAGTAATAAAAGTGCAAAAAAAGTCCATGATCGAGACGCGAACCCATACCGATAAATTAGAAGTAAGAAGTAGTATACCCGAACTATCAGAGCTATTGTATCAACTAAATGTTAATGATGCCAGATCGCTTATGATCATCACCCTTCTTTGAGGTTTACATATTTGAATTCGTACTTGTTATTAAATTGGCATGTTTATAATTAAGTAATAAGCTTATTTTTTAGTAAAGTAATAACACTTGAGTTTCGTTTTTCATGTAATAACCTTTATTTACCCGATACTACTTCGTTTCCTATTGAATCAAGTGGACAAGCGAAGAAGCCAATCATAAGCGATTAGAGAGAGAGCATGCAACTTCATATCTTCTATTTCTCTTTTCGGCTGGTAACGCACTTGGCCGCTTGAGCGCTATCTCCAGTAGTATGCTCGAAGTTTGCAATGCGGTACATTACAAGGCTTTGCCTGAGAGTGTTGCATTATTTGCAACACCTCAGGAAAACCATCCCCGTCTCTTGCAGCCCCGTAACCAGCCGCATAATGCTAACCTAGACGTACCCTAATACAAGCACTCATTGTTTTTTTATATCCGTATACCGATACCGGAGAAATCAACGAAACAAGTTGACGAACGCGATCCGACGGATGCTCGTGTGACGTCAGGGTCACTCTCAGGTACGCTTGGAGTAAGCGTAAACTCAGGGTTGCTCTGATTTGGCTATCGTGTGACACATAAGCCGGGACGAGCAATATTGTTGCGTGGAGAAAACTGTATGCTAGCGCGGTATGTAATAACCAAATGTTATTACGAACACACCAGACTCACGCTTA